ACATCCAATTTATACCGTGATATTTATTTTTAAATAACAATGAATTTGACACGAATTATTTTCTTTGTTTAATCTTCCTTCTTATATAAAATATAACGCATATTATACATTCAACTTACTCATTTGGATTTATTCATTTGAACAATATAGTGATGTACTTGTTAATATAATTCGTGGATTTAATTATCCTGGATTCTTAGCGATACGTGGGATGAATATTAATGTCTAAATCGTCGAATCAAAGAAAATTTAAAGTAAGTTACATCCACCATGTTTAGATAAAATTACTTCAAATTGTAATTACTGTACGCTACTTTTCTTTATTCATCCTAAATAAATTAGTAGAATTATATTTTCCCACATTAAACCATTCATATTACAGACTAAGAGCATTTATAAAACCATTGACTCTTCTAATACAAGGCCGCGGTGAGACAAAAGTGACAACGCCGCAGTCATGGCCTACTGAAAAATCTGTTGCACTAATTCATAATCGAGCGTCTGCGCAGTATTTATGTTTACACGTTTGTTATTACTGTTATTCCCATGCCATCAGGCCGGTGCGACGTTGCCACACCAACGCCGCCGCGGCCTTGTATGATAGAGGCTATGATTATAAGAGGCTATGATATAACTCAATGTGAAACAACCACTAATCAACAAATTAAAAAATATACTTTGCAAAATGCTTAGTGATTTAGTGTGAACATTTCATTGTGTCATAGATTAGCTATACACAAATAATAATTATGAGAAAATACCGAAGAGACAATAGACAATACAATTTCACTAATAGTAATCTTCCTTACAGCTTAAGTAATTAATCAACAAGTAAATGCATCTTACCCAACGAGTTGACAATGAGAAAATTACCAAACCTAATCAATTAGCAAGAACAAACAAATTAAATTGGTGGGTGAGAATATTATATTAGGAAAGTCGCATTTCCTTTTCTAACTAATAGTATCAGTTGTGCTATGTGTTTGTTAAAAGTACGGGTTACGCGTAAATTGAAAGATAAAATTTACTTTGGTTGTTCTATTCTATTAAAGTTCTTCCTATCTAAGATAAATTTACAAAAACTTACATGGCATTAATTATAGGTGTAAGAAGAAATATACCAAAATATATTTCTGAAGTAAGTAACAATGGATTTACAATACGTCAAACTATTAGGAGATAATTTGTTTTGGATTAAGCGTCACAGTACATTAAAAATTAACGTCAAATCAATCAAAAGTAATAAAACCACAAGTACCTTTTCTTTATCGTAAAGGAATATGAAATAGTATTATATTTTATAATGTTTATAGGTATTCATATATTTTATAAGGAATCTTAATCTTATTGGGTAAACACAAAATAGCGAGATGTATCTTGGTGTTCTCCTGTCCAAAATTTATTTTGTTATTCTTCAATAATACGCGAATAAATATGTTTCCTAAGGTATAGGAATTCGTAAAAAATTACGTTATTATCTGCGAAAGCTCTCTAAAGCATATGCTTTATAACTTTTACTTAAATAGTATTCATACCGTAGTATTGTCTTTCAGCTGTGCATAAGGGTTACAAATTGTTGATATTTATAGCCATGCACTGTGGATGCGATACTCCCTGGAGTGGATTGACGTCCGCACTAGTGAGTATTACGACTATCCGCAGTACTATCCTGATAATTGGACCAATTCGTTAATACCGAGGCAAAAATGTAGTTCGGATTCCACTATGAAACTGTAGGTCCCTTAGTTGCCATTAGCTGCTGTATGGGTTATTAATTAACAGCTGTAAGGAATATGTCGGACTTCCTACACTCATGTCCATTCATACTTAGCTTAAAATACCTACTTTGTATGGTCGCTATTTCATTGAAAAGTATTGAATTGTCTTAAACATGTAATCGTATATAGTATTGGAGAAAGCTTTGATACTACTACACGTTCTGTATATTGAAAACCAAGCAAATTGCGATCAGTGTCTAGAGTCTACGTGTTTTTCAAGGTCGCCAGACATATAACTCCGATCGTAAGTGGTCTGCTGGTCGTATGGCTTACTATTACAACACGTGCTAATTTACTACGGAAACAATGGTCATAACACGACGTATATCTGCGTATTATTACTGTATCACGATCCCTATATTAGGGGGTTGTACGATTTATGTATGAATGTACCGCTATTTAGGACGCAGTCTTCTGTTCAAATTGTACCATTATTTTCTCAAACGTTTTATCAATATCTAAATCATGATTGAGATGGGGACGCCATCTAGCTTCGTATTTTAACCTAAATATGAGTAATGAGTTTAGATTGGAGTGAGATGATCTGTGTAGCTTTGTTACTGACTACATCAAGATAAGATTTAAGATCATTTTTTGATAGTTAGATCAGCTGTACACAACAATGGCTGTTTCGTTAGCAAGGATAATTGATAGCAATGATCAGGAACAGCTAAGTACAGTTTCCAACCATCAAAAAGCGCTATTTACGAAATAGGTATACGATGCTGCCCTAAAAGCCATAAAAATGCACAAGTGAAAACACTGATGAGTGTATGAGTGGACGAATAAATTGGACAAATTTAAAATGATCAATAAATCTGCATATTTAGGAAGTCTTTGTATTCGTAGCGTAAACATGTGTTTAATACACACTGTATCTATATTATTATTAAACAAATTTTTCGGATTTTAGTGTGCAACAAATCGACCTTTAAATATTTATTTTTATAAGCATATTGGGTGTCAGTTTAAACCTCTCATCCTCTAGATGTGCCTTTTGCAGGTTTGGGCGATATCCCGTGAAAGCCCTTCGTCATATAGGCGTTTGTGCTGAACACAAAACACACACATATTAAGTACATATTAAGTACATATTAAGTAGGTTAATGTATATACTGTGATGAAATTGTATGACGTTGCTATACATGTATTTATAATGTTGATGGCAATAAATGGATTTGATTTGATTTGAATTCTGTGTCAATCATCTGAACTTTTTAGAGTTTACATTTATCAAAACAAATGGCCATGATAAAATTTTGTTTACATCCATAAGAAAATTGGGTTATCGTTACAGTTGGTGAAGTTTTAGTGAATTCAAAAAAATCTTTCTACTGTTAAAGAAGAAAATGACTTACGTTAGATTTTGTGTTTTCATAGAATGCCTCATTAGTATTTGTAATTTTTATAAGATGCCTTAGAGATCGCGCACGTAATGAAAATAATAGGGATGATGAGAAATAATATTTTTCACAATTATCAACTATATATAAAATATATCACGGATTTTGAAGTCACGAAGTGATGCTGGCTGCTATTAGTGATTTGAATTGGTTTCCTTCATTACTTAGGTAGCCTAAATCGTAATATGTACAATGCAATTAAATAATTGTTGTACTTTATCCTTGGATCACACTGATCACGAAACATAAGTTAAATCTCCTCCGTTTAGACAAATAATTGAAAAATAAAATATATATTTTATAAGCTGCCACAGTTCAGCTGAATTTTTAAGGGTGTATAAGATTAAATTTAAAGTTGTTTAAGCCTACAAAAATACAATTACTCGTACCGTATATGGATGGTTTACAACTTTTCCATTTTATCAAATTATGGACAGTGAAGGTATAAATTCAATATTGATCCAAAGGTTATTGTTCAACCTATTTAAAGGAGAAACTGGTTCAATTATCGACTCCACTCATTTCAATTACCAATGTTGAAGTGCCGTTACCGGTGTTTCGGAACTAATCTTAAGCTGTAGATCCCCGTTACTGTAGAGAGTAGATAGAATGTATCATAAGCGACAAGAATTTTATAAATTTCCCCCGAAGAAAATTCGGTAATTTATTTTTTTGATAAATGAAGAGTTGTGGAATGAGGCTATAATTAGATCGCACGGTTTTAAAAAGTTTTAACATTGGAATCACCTTTAAATTGGATCGTTTAAAAATACTCCAAGGACTAATTCTGAGATATTTTCAACGTGTTGTTAATTTTTCAAATGTTTGAGTGGTAATAATAAGATCAATTCGTGCATTTGCGAATCAAATATTTTGTAGTAAAATTAGATGGTCTAACATTGGTACAGTTACTATGTTTGAGATAATTGTGATTTTAGAAAATTTGTTTACTATTTGAGTGGCAGGATCAAAGTTTTGAGATAGGCCTATCTTACTTGGTAATTTGTAGGTAGTTCAAATTGTTTTAACGATACAATGGCATTACTTACCTAAGTAATTTGTCACGTTTTGTACACTGTTTACATACGTTTAAGGGTTTCTGGTGGAAGAACTCAAAATTTTTAAATCTGCTCTTTAAATACTTGGTCGTTAAATTAAGTTAGAGGGCGTGGAAATGTCACCATGGCTTAATTTTGAGACGTTCGTTGATATATTAGTTCATTGTTAATGGGTTTGAGTGGCTAAATCAAAGTTTTAAAATAAGAATCCTCCTGTATTTTGCTTTCTATTTTAAGTATATAGGTATGGCAGTTATGTCTTTTACTTGCATTTTCTTAAGACTCATGTTCTTACAGCTTTAATTGATTATAAAAAAACTTTTTCGACGTTCTACTAAATGTGTAAGAGATTTATGGGGCTGAGGTCACCAATTTGGAATCTTCTTCTCAAATGTTTTGTAGTTTATTTTAAATATTTTTACTATTCTATGATTACTTTAGAGTGTTTGAGAGGTTTAAGTACTAAGATCTTAAGAATCATCTCAAATATTTTGTCTCAGTATATCTTCAATTAAATACAACAGTAATTTGATGACGTCCTAACAAATACATAGATTTGAGGGGTTGAGATCTCCATTAATCTACTAGGGTACTTATATATTTTGTAGTTAAATTTAATGTGTAAATTTAACGTGTTTGACAGGTTAGAGTGACAAGAACTTCGGAATCGAATCAAATATTTAAACTATGGAAATTATATATCAAATACTTATCGTCTCTTGAACTACCCTATCCAACAATCGCAACTGATAACAATTTACCTGGTTCTGGCTGTGGACGCAGGCCTGGTCTTGTTCCCTGCGTTGCTGGGGGCGGGGGCCGGTGGTCGCTGCGGGGGCGGCTGTCGCACCACCCTCGTACTCTGAGGGGCGGCACTCTTCACCACCGTCACCGACACTATCACTAGACACAGTAACACTCTCATCTCGCTGTTGCTCCTTAGACACACTGAGCCACACTGAACGTTCTCCACTCAGTCCACTTTCACTCTCCCCCTCGGCCTGCCTCTTGCAGGTGTCCCATTCAAGGAAACGTGTCCCTCTCACTGCTGCTGTTTGTTTATTTTTGAGTGTTGCATAGTGATCCGCCGTGGATTATCACTGATCACTGAAAGAAGAGATTCTAGATTATTGGATGTTATTGTTGCACATCTCATCAAGATATTTGCGAAATATTAAAGCACTACTTAAGTGCTGCTGCTTTAAAGTGTTGCCAACGTAGTGACCAACGATCATCTGTGTATTATCACTGATCTCCCGTGGATTATAAATGATTACTGAAAGGAGAGATTCCAGATTATTCAATCTTAATGTTGCACTTCTCATCAAGATAAGGTATTTGCGAAATATTGAAGTACTACTTAAGTGCTGCTGCTTTAAAGTGTTGCAACCGTAGTGACCACCCTCAGTGGTTTATCACTGATAACTGAAAGGGGAGCATAGAGTATTGTATGTTAGGTTATTATCGCACCTGTCACTAAGATTAAGGTTTAATTTGCGAAATAGTAGTTTTGATTATAGAATAGGTAAGTACGTCTCAATGCAATAATAATCGGTGGAAATAAGGGGAAGAAGATGAAAGACGATTTTGACAACCAGACTTAGAGAACCAGGGGTGCAATGTCATGGGCTTTGGCGAAGAAGTAATTTACTGTCCGGCTCAACCCTTGGATCGATTCAATGGTTAAATTGATCCAACTGCCATGATCATTGGGCTTGCAATAGATAACAAACTGGTATACCCGAGCTTTGCAACGGCAAGAAAATGTGACATAGACAGCCATTGCAGTGTATTTAAGTGGTGCTGATGTGTGCTTAAAAATACAGTAACTCTATTATTGAATTTTAAAAGATGAACTGATTCAAAAGTGTAAACCTACTTAATTTCAAAACCGTACTACTTCTAGTGTCTATATATCCAAAATAATATGACAACATACCAGTAGCAATAACATCAATTATTTGATATTGATGTTTCATGAATGAGATGTTTTACCAAGATTATTCAATTTTAGGCAAACCTCTTTGCAAGTAGCTTACTATAATTACAAATGAAACTGTGATCAATACTCTACAAAACCTATACTACATTTCTAACCAAACATACTCTTACTAAAAATGTACATATTTCCTCAATCTAAATAAAGCATCACAAACATATTTTTTTTGTAAACAAACAAACACCAGTTAATTGCATCATAGACAAATAGATTAAAATATAAAACAGCTGGTCAATAGCTGTTTCATCAAAATACATTAAATTAAATCATTTAAACTTTGGAAGCATGTCTGGCAGACGTAGCCATTTGGAAATCGGCCTCTGCACCAGAGACCTTAAGAAATTTGTCCATACCAATAGTTTTCGGCAAATCTACAAACTCTTAACATAATTTTGATGTGCCATATGCCTATATTTTTATTTGGTTAATACCCTAAACCGTTTACATAAAATGTGATTGTATCACTTTAATAATATAAGATAACCAGGAACAAAGCTACTCAGGTCAGTCCTTGCCACTCCATCAAGCATTTATATTCAGTGAAAACCAGACCTAATGTGTGTCGTCTTTATATTTTGTCATGTTTTAGTTATTAGAGAATACACTCTCATAACTGAATAGACGTCATAACAAACTTATCTAAATCAATCAGTATAACTACTCAATCACGTAATGAAGAACAATAATTTTAATTTGAAACCTGTTTTACTAGTGATGCACATTTGATTGTTACGGAAGCAGAACGTGGCAGAAGCTAAGTAAATTAATTACCCAACGACCGTGGGAGGAACAATATCATGACGTCACTTTGATCAAAGGAATTTCAGGATCATTAGTTGGAACCTTGAAATCCTCCAGGATCAACCTCCATCCAACAGGCACGACTCCTGCTGACTCACAGATAGCTATTACAGAGTTTCATCATTATTTTTTTCGTTGGACAGAGAGCGGGCACTTCCAAAGTCTAAGGACGATCTCAAGAAGATTCCAAAACACGAAGATGGCTCAAACCTCTTCCTTGGATGTCAATTTGCAAAGAATATGTTTTTTTCATTTTACAACTGTAGGAGAAAAAATTCACTTTGTGGTGGGTCAACCTCATTCACTTTCGGTTTTACAGTTATAAAAAGAATTGCAAACTTGTTTTGATCTTTACCGACTCTTGGATTCATTGTAGGATGTGTATTTACCAAAACCCTTTACAGACGGGTTTAGACTACAGAAACTGTCTAAATCGTAGACTCTATAGTTCACAATATTTACTGTCACATACACCAAGGATAATTAATTGTGATGGATCTACGATTGATTTTTGTTCTCGAATATTAGCCTCAATTTTGAAAGAAATTGTTGAAAAGTGCTCTCATGGGCTTAAACATAAATATGACTGATGCTACTGGATCTGTGAGAGTCAATGATAATGTATGAAGACAGGGCTTTGGCAGAATGAAAGCAATGCATCTTTTCAGCTATGTTATGTAAATAAGTTCTTTAATCCAAAATAATAGACAACCCCACTTAATGATACAGCTAACGTTTTCAACCCCTGTATTCGATGACGATAAAACATAACTGAGGTAAAGAATCAGTAATAATTTATTTTCCTAACAACCCATCAATAACTAATCCATGGTACACCTCCCATCTCTCAGCATCCTAGCAGATAGTGTACTCTTTGTATCACAGACTCCACCCAAGTCTTGTAGAGCTCTCGTGTATTTCACCGACCATATGCAGTTTGACAGCGTTATTCAACACATTATAAGTGTCGCACGGTCGAGACCGGCGGTTCTTGGCATCAGTTCTCAATAAAAGAAATGTAAGTTCGAAGAACCGGTTGGCTGGTTCGCTTCCGGGCTTGCAGATCGGCTCTTGTGGTCCCCAGTGCCTTTCCCAGGTGATAAGGAGAGCTATCTACCAGATAGCAAGCCATCTTTGACATAATGGAGGTGCCTTTAAGGGCAGTCACTATTTGCCTTGATGGACAAATCTGATACGTCGGAGCATTAACTATCTAATGAGTGAAAGGGGATTTTTATAAGGCATCACGAAACGAGGAAACAGGTGCGGGCAATTAAATGAGTAATTTGAAATTGCAACAATTTTGTGTCATTCCTACTTTAATAGCTACGCACTTTGACTTTCATTCGAGGGAAGTTTTAACAATTCTGTAGCCAGGTGGGTATAGTTTTTAGAACTGACTTGACCCTTATTATATTGTCATTTGTTCGTTACCACTGAATCTTGGAAGTTAATATGTAGTTCAGTAGTTGTCAAATCAATCATTACAGTAATTGGCGTTCTACGTCACTTTTGTTGTACGTCACACCAGCGGATTCTATCAGGAAAACACTACAAAAAATGATCAAGATTACGATGAATTTTTCAAGTTTACGATGATCTGGGTAAACTACCATATACGATCTTAAACTTACCAGAACTGCGCAGGCAACACTGTGAACATTTTGGGTAAAAGATTCGGATTTTAAAATCGTCTCGATTTTCAGATAAGTAAACAACCACAACGTCACCATTTGAATGTTTAAATCTCATTCTACTTATTCGAAAGAGAGACATTATTTTGAGGTTATCCCACTATAACCGATAATCTGCCGATATAAACAATACCACAAGGATGATGAATTTTAAAATGTAAAACAGCTGATACAGTTCACCACTACAACCATTAATGTTTTGCAACTCAATACATATAATCATTGAATATCTAAGTCTTATTAAACGTGATATGTATAAGTAGCCTCCGTTTATTTCCTCAAAGTTTAACATTTTTTGCGACTGACAGTGGCCTGTTTAGATAATGAGGATTATGGCATCGTGACTGATACAGAAGTTTCTTTGCTGGATGTTGCAGCTGGTTATATAACTGATGACTTTTAAAAAGCTAAATCGCTGGCCCACTTTGTTTAATACTTTAAACGAAAGGTTCACGATAGTGACATTTTGACGGAGGACACACATAATTTCACTGTTACACAACCGGTAATTTACGCGATTTTAGATAAAAGGCTTGTTAGACTTACGGTTCGATATTGATGGTTGCGTAAACTGTGATGGTAGACGATTCGATTGTTGTTTTGAATCAACAATTTAAGTGTATTGAGTCAATTAGGTGAAGATGATAAAAATATTTTAAAACGGTATCTTTGGGTAATAAATAACATTTTAATAATTTAAAAGGTTCTGTAGACCAACTAGGGTACCAACATCGACTTAACAATTAACAATAAATACAATGAGGATGATTTGAGAGAAATTTCACACTTCACAATCGACATCCATAGAATATACAGTGGCCAAGATGGACCAATATGCATCTTAGATCCATGAGACCGATTCGACAGGAGCTCCACACTCCACAATCTACATCCATAGAATATACAGTGGCCAAGATGGACCAATATGCATCTTAGATCCATGAGACCGATTCGACAGGAGCTCCACACTCCACAATCTACATCCATAGAATATACAGTGGCCAAGATGGACCAATATGCATCTTAGATCCATGAGACCGATTCGACAGGTGCTCCACACTCCACAATCTACATCCATAGAATATACAGTGGCCAAGATGGACCAATATGCATCTTAGATCCATGAGACCGATTTGACAGGAGCTCCACACTCCACAATCTATTTCCATAGAATATAAAGTGGCCAAGATGGATCAATATGCAACTTAGATCCATGAGGCCGATTCGACAGGAGCTCCACACTCCACAATCTATTTCCATAGAATATACAGTGGCCAAGATGGACCAATATGCATCTTAGATCCATGAGACCGATTCGACAGGAGCTCCACACTCCACAATCTACATCCATAGAATATACAGTGGCCAAGATGGACCAATATGCATCTTAGATCCATGAGACCGATTCGACAGGAGCTCCACACTCCACAATCGACATCCATAGAATATACAGTGGCCAAGATGGACCAATATGCATCTTAGATCCATGAGACCGATTCGACAGGAGCTCCACACTCCACAATCTACATCCATAGAATATACAGTGGCCAAGATGGACCAATATGCATCTTAGATCCATGAGACCGATTCGACAGGAGCTCCAC